AACAAGCGTGCATGATCAGAATATAAAGTTTTAGAATCGAGTGATGCACATCTGCAGAATGATGCAACCATATAGGATTTTTATTAATAAAAACAACCAAAACATTCCAAACACACGGCTTTTCAGTTACGCTTCAGCTTCTTATTTTGTGCAGATATCTGAGAATTTAATCCCCTTAAAAAAATCATAATACCTGAAAATTAATTATTTTAAATTTTCTTTAAAAAAAATACTTTAGTGGACACTGATTTAAAGTACCGTATTTTCCGGCGTATAAGTCGCCTCAGTCCAAAAAAGCATCATGAAGAGGAAAAAACACATATATTAGTCGCTTCGGCGTATGTGTCGCGTTTATTTAATGGTGAAAACAGTTTCATTTCACCTGGGCGGCGCAGCACCATCCGTCCATCCATAGTGGCCAGAGTCGCAAGCTCTCCAGCGTTTCTCCGCCTGCACCAGCTGAGTGAAGCGAGCGTGCACGAGAGGACTCGCTGTTGCAGTTCTTCGAAATTTAAAGCGTCAGTCAAAAATTGCCTTATGAATAAGCAAAAAACAACATATATAAGTTGCAGGCCTGACAAATCTATGCAAAAAAAATGTGACTTATATGCTGGAAAATACGGTACTGGTCTGGCCATCAGGAGCAATTTATGTCACATGTCTCGCTCAAGGACAGCAGAAGTCAGCAGGAAGTGTGTGGCTTGTTGTGCAGGGGAGCAGCTGTAAACTGCTCCGTGATGCCGACGCCTTTAAACATCTTGCTGCACGTTTAATTTTTGCTTGTGTGCATATTTATTTGTTTACTTTCCTTCAAATCATGTGTTTCTTTAGGTTTTTTGTTGCATTCATTTCCATATGTTCTGAAACTGGTGTAAATAAAGAGAGGAAGGGAGGTTTACCCCTACACACACACACACACACACACACACACACACACAGAGACACACACTCCTCCCTCTCATCCACTTGACGGATGACGGCATGCAGACGAGGGATGAATGGACGAACATGAGAGAAAAACGAGAGGAGGAGGATGACATCAGCTCAGAGCCTCTTTCCGGTCAGTCCCCTTACCCCCCCATCCCCCATCAATGCTATCTCCACCCTCCCACACCTCTCCCTTGTTGCTACGGCAGCACCAGCATCCCGTCTGTCTGAGAGACTGTTTGGGGTTGATAGCAGTGCATGTGCAGGATTTCATCAGATGAAATTACTTCTTTATTTCTCTACCTCCATCTCATCCATCTTTTCTCTTCCATTTTCTTTATTGCGTTCAAACGAACAGCTTTTTCTCCTCTTCCTGCACAGAATCTGGAGGGAGCTGTTAACAGCTTAAAAACTAGGACAAACACTTACAATGTGCATCACTCTCAAAAGATGGAAGACTATGTTTTGTTGGTTATGTAAATGTTTCCCTTAGATATTTGAGCTCCAGAAATTTGGAGTATTGCCAACAAGGCCTGAAGTCACTTTGACCTTGGATTGCCTGACGGACTGTTTTAATGTAACCAATAAAAGTTGGTTTACTGCTGCTTTAATGTTTTTACCGTTTGATATATCAAAAAAAATAAATAAATAAATAAATCACTCTTTCTGCTCCTGGAATGATGCTTCTAGCACAAGACGCATAACTTTTGATTAAAGAAAAATACCAACAAAACACAATATTTTGTCTTAGAAACTGAATCATTTTTTATATTAAACTCATTGTAAACTATGACATAAAACGTGAAAAATAAAATTCTGAACCTTATTAATGAATGTTGCGGTTTTAAGGAATTTACTCAAGTAGTTTTCCAGATACGGTGATCCCTCTTTTATCGCGGGTATTTGGGACCACACCCATCCGCGATAAGTGAAACTGTAAAGTTGGGATACAGTAGTTTAAGTTCAAGTTCAGTTCAAGCTCAGTAAACTTTGTCATGACATGTGCCAGGCTGCAATCACACTCATCACCTGTATCTATAAATATATATATATATATATATATATATATAGTACTGCAACGTTTTAAATAAACAATATATTTATATATAGGCATTTTAAACCCTTCTCATACTCTTGCAATATTCTAAACAATGTTTCTAAACTCTACACACTAAAAGAGCACAGAATATCATGATTGTAGCTCTGCCTCCTCTCTGCCAGGCTACACTCTGCCACCTGCAAGCTGTCTTGGCCACGCCCACTTCCCCGCTCTGATCAGCTGATCAGCTTTAGCAGGAAGCTTATCATGCAGTAAGAGCTGCACAAAGGCAGGGGGAAGCTTTTTCTGCAGCACTGGGCTGCACAAATGTGCAGCAGGTGCTAAATAATTTAAGATAATTCATTTTAAATAAAAATCCCATGCAGATTGTGCGGCTTATCCATCACTTAGTTAGTTGTGTGTCATGTCCACTCTTATTTTGAAAAACTGCGACAGAACGAGTCTGCATTAAACAAAGTAGCGGGGGACTAGTGGTTCAATTCTGAAATGTGGGTACGCACTCAATGTCAACAACATTTTTTAATCTGTGTACTTTGCTCAACAAATCTGATAGTAAATACTTACCTATACATCAAAACAGTCTGACTTCTACATCCCAAACTGCTCTTGCATATACGCTGCTTATGTTTGTTTTTCAGTAATTTAGCCGTTTCTGTATAAGTAAACAAATGTGTAGTTTTTGGCAGCCATAACATTGCAATGAGTACATTTTTAAAGTATTTTGCAAGTGACCTAAATATGCATTTTGTTAATGGCTCACTCTGCAGGACACATTTTAGCCTCTGTCTACGGTTTGTATGCAATTATTGCCATCATTACCTTGCTTTCTCTTTATTTTTCTTCCCATAGAAGCAACATCTGGACCATTCTTAATGAGTTTGTGTCTCTTTCCTGCCTTTTCAACCCCCAGCTGGTCGAAGTAGATGATTGGCCGTCTTGAAACTGGTTTTACCAGAAGTTTCTTCCTGCTAGCTGTTTCCTACTGTTGCTGACGTGCTGCTGCAGAATGGGCAACAAAATCAAGATTTGATGCAATCTGTTCGCTTTGTTAGACAACTTTTACTAATTGGCATTTCATAATGTACGTGTGAATGAAACGCATTAGTAAAGAAATGAACTGACCAGTTAGATTAAATCTGAATTTGAATTGGATTTATGATTTGGATTTTTTTAGGGTCCTGACATGGTGTTTGTTGTAAATACCAAAATGATCAGAGTTATTTCGAAACGGCAACAATTTATTGTACTTTGTTAAAACGAACTGCTGGCTCACAAGTCTGGAAAGAAGCTAAACTATTTTTCCAAGATTGTACAAACGCTACCTACAACAGGTAAGATATTAGTTGTTCATTACATTTCCTCAGAAATCCCCTTTAAAAGATTTGAAGTACAGTTTTAAATCTCCTTTGGTTTACCATCAAACCCAGATATTTTATCCTATAAATATGAAACAAGGTATTATCAGGTGTTGTAATCCCAGAACACACATTTCCTCACTTTAGCCCTCTGTTTTCTCCCATGCAGCTCAAGTGTTGGCCTGTTTTTGCTCTCAGTCTGTTTTTGTCTGAATTTTCTTCCTGTCATCTGCTGCCGAGTTGGTCTCATTTCCCCTCGTAACCATGGAAATGAGATCAACATGCAAATACCTGAGCACGCTCAACGGCCTGCAAGATGGGAGATGCAAATTGCATCCGCTTGTAGGATTACACACCCACGCACACACGGATGCACGCTCAGTCACAGGCGTGCATGCACGCGCAAACGTCTGCGTGACGGCAGACGTAAGCACTCCCACCTGCAGTCCGCCACAACAACAACATGCAAACTGAGGTGATGTATGGAGGCTTCGCTGGAAAGGATATCAAGTGTCTGAATGGAAATACACTGCAAAAAAAGGCTGTAACATTTTGTAAAAATATTACAGTAAATAGTTGGTTTTAATTCATTAACTTGTTGGTTTTTATAAGGCATAGTTTGTGGATGACTCTCAGCTACCACCACATCAAATGCTAACATAATATCTGTAAAAATGATGTAGTTAAAACTATTATTGGGTTCTTGAATGTCCATTGTGGCAGCCATCTTGGATTGGATTGATTCCAAATGTTAATGAGATGTAGAGGTGCATCTAGTGATTATTTCCTGATACTTAAAAAAAATAATTAGTTAGTAAGTTAGGTGGTTTCAACAGCCATATTAAATTTATTTGACTCCAAAAGTTAACCAGCTATAGATATTCATTCAACCTTTATTTATACAGGTTAATCCCGTTGAGCCTCGGGGACTCATTTATAAGACAGACCTGAATTTTAACAAAGAGTGATGACAACAACGATAACAAGACAGTCATAAAATATGCGTACAAATCAATTTTTTTTAATATATATGGATTTTTTTTATATATATCAGAGAGTCAGAGTTTCTTTATTATCATTCACACCACATGTGGTGGAACGAAATTGTGTAAACAGGGTCCCAGTTACATCCAACAATAAAATGTAAAAGAAAAACAGTAAAAAGATCTAAGATATGAACATTATCTAACATTCCACAAACATTATCTAAAAATGCATTAAACAATAATAGCATAAAAACAATACGCCGAACAGCAGCACGAACATTGATATATTGAACCAGTGATAGTTTCTGAGCGTTTCGTAAATTAAAACATTATTGCCTTTGCATACAGAGATGGGCGATAAGATTTTAAATAAACTAGGGGTGCATCTATTTCCACATAAGCCATGGCTGACCTTAAGATGGGAGCATGAAAAAATAAACTAAATGGTTAAATTGTGCTCATAGAGTTTCTTTACATATGTAGGTTAAAAAAATATATATATGTGTAAAACTTCTTATTGAGCTGGTGTTTGTTGGGCTTGAATCGCCTTTCCTGTCGCTTCCACTTTCATTGATGTTTGTCCTTTTTTATGAATGAACGACAGAGGAGGAGAGGGCGTGGCGAAGCTGGACGCCTTCTGATTGGCTGAGGTCGGTTGACGTCACCTCCGCTGTGACGCGTTGCGCCCATTCACTAAAAAAATAGGGCAGAAAAGCAAAAGGAGAACGACGCGGCGACATACCGACAGGAGAACGAAGAGATGCGCGGATAGAGAGGCGCTGGAGGGTTAACCACAGCCGAACACGAGCAAACAAACAACCGGCAGCGATGGAGGAGCTGCGCGTGATGGACTGCGCCATGCTGAGGCGGCTCCTGAAGGACGACGGAGCCCACAACAAGTGCCTGCTGCTGGACTGCCGCTCCTTCCTCGCCTTCAGCGCGGGACACATCCGCGGCGCCGTCAACGCCCGCTGCAACACCATCGTCCGGAGGCGCGCGAAGGGCTCCGCGCTGAGCCTGGACCGGATTCTGGCCGGGGACGAGGAGGTCCGGGGCCGCCTCCGCTCCGGGATGTACTCCGCCGTGGCGCTGTACGACGAGCGGACTCCGGACGCGGACTCCGTGAAGGAGGACAGCACCGTGAACGTGGTGCTGCACGCGCTGCTCAGAGACTCCCAGGGAACACACATTTACCTGCTCAAAGGTAAACCCTTTATTATTTAGACAATTATGGCAAATTATTATTATCTCTAGATTGGGTCAAATAGAATAAGAATAAAAAATAGGGTAAAGATAAATTATTTAGTCTTTAATTAAATGCACATATCGTCCTGCAATGTAAAAACCTGAAACGTTTTGTAAAAAATAAAACATTTTATTGCTCCAAACACAACAAATTTATTTATAATATGAGCAAATATAGGTATACCTGCCAGCAATACAACAACAGTCAGTTTGGCTACAGTTTCCTGTAAAATAATGCAAATTTTCCTCATAAAAAATTGAATAAAGATAACTTTATTTTAAATAAGCAAAATATCTACTGGTCTGCAATGTAAACATAATTTGCAGCTATCTTGGCTTACATTCTTTCCAAACTATGACATTTTATTGATCAAAAATAGAATAAAGATAATATAAATCAAGCAAATAGCTAATCAGCAATATGGAAACAGTTAAGTTAGTTTGGCTAATCTTTTTTTGTAAAGTAAAGTTATATTTTTTTGTCCAGAATAGAGAAAAGCTGAATTATCATATAGGTAAATTGTTAAACGTACATTCTTGTGCTAAGATTTTCATATAGGCATTTTGTAAAGTATCCTATTGGTCCAAAATGTGGTCATTTTATTTTTTACAATTTTAATGGCTAGTACGAGACCAACACAATCAGTAGACGGACATATTTGCCTAATAGATATCATTTGTCATAATTATGTTAAAGATTAACTTAAAAAATAAGCTACATTTTTGGAATTCCAAATCGTTCAATAGACACAGTTTGTACAAAATGTCTTGTAAAACAAGGCATTTCTTAAATGAAACATAGGATAGGAATAAATTATGTGTGGTGAACTGTTATATTTTTGATTGGCGTGTTTTATCGACTTTGAGCTTGAATCTGGTTCACTTTTGGTGTAATTTTCATTAAAGAACCACAGAAAGAACTGAATGAACCAGAGCTTGAGATATCGGACTGTGGTTTTTATATGTGCTGGTGCACGTCTCTTTATTTGACAATACACACTTTCATTCACTCACAGCTCCACACACACACACAGATGGATGGATGGGAGTTGAGTGAATGAGGTAATGCTGATGCTTACGAAGACACTTGAACGCCAAGTGACATACAGCTCTGCCCTGATTGAGTCCTCTGCGGGTAAACCACCAACGGGAAGGTTGAAACTAACGTATAAAAAATAGAAAAACAGCCCTGGTCTATATTTAGACCGTGAAGACTCTGAAAGCTTCGGGCGTGAGCTGTGGCGCATCTGAATGATGCATAAGCCTCGAAGCACCAGAGTTTGCATGAATCCTTGTTATTGTGCTTCGATATTAAAGGTTGGAAGTGGTCCGCTTGCAGATGAGTTCGCGTTAACAAAAATCCAACAAGAAAATCATGCATCCTATTATGATATAAATCTTTTTTTTTCCTCCTTAAAGTGGCTCTAATGCCGTGATTAAATCAATAACCTCTTTTAAAACCCTTCGATTTCTGCAGCATCCTTCTTGCCTCCTCGTCATAGATCTTGTTGTTTGTTTGTGTCCAGGGGGATATGACAGATTTTTCTCGGAGTATCCAGAGTTTTGCTTAAAGACCAAATCCATACCACCCCTCAGCAGCCAGTCCAGCGTGGACTCTTCCTGCTCGTCGTGTGGAACGCCGCACAATGACCAGGTAACGACACAACATGGACAAATACATGGTGAAAATAAGAGGAACAACTAACAAGGATCAGCTGCATGGCTCATGAACTGGACGGATTAGAACTCTGTCATTTTCACAGATGTTGGTCTAATGTTTGCTGCGAGTCATACCTTGAGCTTTACGTGTCTTGGTGCAATATTCCATAATGTTGTTTTCAAGGCTTGACCAAAAGTCAGCAACTCCTTCCCGTCTCCTCATAAGATCTTGGTCTAAAACCTCTGGCGTGAAAGGAGACGGGCGATACGCATTCCTTCACGTAATGCGAGGCCGTTTATTTTAGTCTTAGATTGATTATTTTTACGTTTAAATCGATCACTTTGACAAGTTTTCTCGAAGCATCGATTTGGTTCTTGATCGCATCCTGTTGACCTGACTGGCCTTGTTTATTTATTTTTATTCAGACAGCGATCTGTTGTTTGAGCCAGCAGCTTTTATGCAACACTCACAGCAGTCACATGTTGTTTTTTTTTGTATTTTTTTTGTGGCCTAATAGAGAAATCACGAGGGCACCGACTCAGAAAGCCCAGCCTCCTCCATCTGTGTGTTTTCTGAGGATAAAAATGCTTCGCTGTCTTCCGGTGAAGCATTTTCAGGTGCACTTACCATTCAGAACGTCTTCAGTTTCCTGTGGAAGCATGGAGACCATATGCTGAGAGCTTAGACCCCCCCCCCCCCCCCCCCCCCCACCCCCCCCCCCGTACATCTCTTAGTGGTATTGAGCATTTCCTGACTCCGAGCCCGTCGGCAGTGATGACATAAACACACAGAGCTTTTTGTCAATAAGTCGAACTGGACTGCCGGTATGGACTGCTGCAGACCAGCTGACCTCTCAGTTTCATTAAAAGGCTTTATCCCACCGTCTGTGAGTTAATTTGTTGACTTGGGGTTCAGAGTTATGTATGTTATGTTCAGAGTAATGCATAAATAGATATTCTTGACAGTTTCTTAAAGTAAAAATTAACTTTAAAACAGAAGTCTTTCATATCGATGAGTTATTTTGATAGAATGTCCGATATTTTACTTTATCGCTGATATCGGCCGATACCGATACCATGCCAATAATATTGCGCATCTCTATTCTGGACCAGTTCAGCACCTGGACTCTTCTACTATATAGCCATGCTGTTGTAGGGAATTCAAAATGTGGTTGATGAAATATGCAAGGCCTTCCCTGTAAAACGTGTTGTCTGGATGGGAGCGTATGTAGTTCTAACACATGGCTATTCAACTAAATTGCTCAGAGGGCCACAGTTACTGAAAACCAAAAGCTCAGGGGCTGGACATCCAGCAGTTATTCTCATTAAGTAAGTTTGTTTTACGATTTAAAATCTAATTTTATTTAAAAATGAACCCGTTAGTGGGCCGAGCTGAGCTCACCTGTGGGCCTGATTTGGCCCCTGGACCACCAGTTGGAAAGCCCTGCTCTAAAACCTGTATTGTTCTGCATTGATGCTGCCTTTCAAGATGTCAGCTGCTCGTGTCAGAACCACGAATGCACCCGGTTAGTGTGGAGGGCGTGTCGTCCGTTTCCAAAAATAAATTTTACATTTTGATTCAGCTAGCCTCAGATCACTTTTCCACTTTGTCTCCGTTCATTTTAAATGAACTTTGGCTCAGAAAGGACAGGGGTATTTCTGGAGGTGTTAACCTCTGCCCATCTTTACTTCGGGGAAATTCAGCCTCTCTAAAATGCTGTTTATACGTCGTATTGACCTCAAAATGCTCCTCATTTTTATACTCGTACCACCTTTTGTTGCTCCTGTCCCAACTTTTTCTAGATGTTTTTTTTGTCATAAAAATACCTCGTTTTTTTCTAAAAATCCAAATCAGAGCAAACATAGTTCGAGATTATTTGCTTCCATTCTCTGGGAAGGTTCATAAATATCCATCACCTCAGTGGTGCTGCTGTTTGCTCGTGTGCTGCACAATGACTATTTTTCCCCCTTGCAAACATATTTAGCTGCTCATTCGACCTGATATCTGAGGTAGTCCTAATTTCCTCAAGATTTTTCGTTGAATTCTTTGTATTTAGGCTGAAAAGTTGTGTTTTTGAACGTGAAAGTGTTTCAGCCTGAGACAGAAACGACCCCAAACGGCCCTGTTTGGAAGAGGCTGGTCATTCAGATAATTAGCTGTTCCTGTCTGATAAGAGGCAATGCTAACGCGATTAACAAAATATTCTGCTGGGATCACAGAGTCGTCTGTTTCCAGGTTTCCGTTGCTCAGTGAGATAGTGAATTTTATTTTGTTTGCATTCTACCGTACTTTTCGCTGTATAAGTCGTGCCTTCTTGCATAGATTAGCGTACCCTCCAACTTACACAACAAAGTATTTGTTTTTTCCCCATATTTTTAACTCAATTTCTGGCTGAGATCTGACGATTTTATTCATTCTGACATGGAAAATATTGAACACTACCATTTTCAGCTGCTAGAGGGCACTCGAGTAATATAGCAAGCCAAGTGTCTCATTAATAGGTAAAAGTGGCTATTAATGAGACACTTGGCTTGCCTTAAAAAGCCACCTTCATCTCGCTCCAGAACTCTTGGAGCAAATGTCAAATCAGCTGCATTTCGCAGCGTTGCCCAGGCGAAATGCAGCTGATTTGACCATTAAAGTGCATTTGTTAAGGAAAAGT